TTCTTTCCTTTCCCCATCTCCTCCCACCACCCCTACCCCTTTGGACCTTTTCCTATTTCAAAGTATCAATTATTAGTTATAAATCCTTTTAGTCCTTATTTACACTCTCAGTTTCTCACACTAGAGAAACTATTCGGTATTTACACGTGTGTCTTCACAGTAATCATTTTAACAGGGAAAATTTTTAAAAATTTAAAGCAGAAGTCACCAGCCATTAGAAGTATTCATGGTCCATTCCCCAAATCTCCCAGCCTCCCCTTAAGATCTTAATTTATTCCTAGCATAGAATTTGCTGGGAGCTCCAGTGCAGAGTGATGGCCCAAGAAATGAACAGAGAGCATACAAAGAAGAGGCTGAGTAGTCATGGATGACAGAAAAAGCCTTACAGCTCTCAAAGTACATACCATACAGATTCCACCTAATAAATCTGCCCAGAGCACTGAGGAACACACAAGTGATGAGAGGCTTTTTGTCAACAAAGAACTAATGGCAGAATCAAAAGCTCTAAGATAGCTATCAGAGGCTGACTGTACAAACAGGTAATGGCCAGGTCACATATAAAAATAGACTTCTACAACCACAACCACAGGAAATCACCCCCTTCTCTGAGATAAACAACCCCAAAAAGCCAGCCTTAGAGAAATCAGATTTGCAGCCAGATTGCCTGGGTTGCCTAGTGGCAACCCATGAAGCTAAACAGTAACTTCTCACAGTGGACCCCAAATGGCCTGGAATTGGCTAATAACTTATAGCTACCCTAATTTTTGTCCCCACTTCCAAATTAGGATCAATTAGAGAAAGTTAAATAAATATGGCCCCTTGAGCAGTCATATGGAGGACCTAGTCAGCAGCCTCCAGTTCCCCCAGGGTAACAGGCTCCAATCAGACACACCCAAGCCATCCCTTCTTGCAGGGTGAGGCTCTTGGTGGCTGACTCCCTTGCTAGCAGACTCAGAATACACAGCCTTTGCTTTACCCCCTTCCTTGGTCTTAGCTTATTTCCTCAACTGTCTGGATCCATCTAAGGGCTAAGGAGGTTAGGATGGGTTCGCAGCTTACATGTTTGGTAGACAGATTCTGTGCAAGGTTACAGCTCTGCTCCTTGGTACCAATCACCCTCACACTGTATTCTTCAGATGTGATCAATCTGCCTTTTACAATAGTGAAGGTAGTGATCACTTTCTATTCCTGTAATGAATTAGTAAACGCAAGCTTCTGGCTTCTTCTTTCAAACCCAGAGTTCTAGGTACACATGAATTATAAGCTCACCCTAACCATCCTCAATAGAAAATGACCAGCTATCACCTGTAATTTGAAAGTTATCAATTTTATTTCACAATATATCATTTTTTAAATTCTCTTTGACTCAACCTAGAAAACCAAATTAATTATTGGAAGTCCCTACTCTGGGCCTAGGAATTTGCCTATTTGAAAGGCTTTACGGGAAATTCAGAGACCATCATTTGTTGGAGTTGCTTGTGAGAACCAGCAGAATGCTGATGTCCTCTGGGGACTATGACAAGCCACACAATATTCCAAACTAATGTGTACTACTCTTCTTGCTAAGAGGTGAGTGGAGGGATGGTCTGCAGTCTTCTTACGAACTGTCACCTCCCCAGGGTCCCCAGCAGTTGCTTTCAGTGACTCTCAAGTCTCTACTTTACATATAGTAGGAATGCTTTTGCTAAATTAATGAGACTAAAATACAGTCCTAGTGCTATAGGTAGATCTATATTCTAAAGTATATTCCTCTTCTAAAAGTTGAACTCGGAAGTAGAGAGTAGAATGATTACCAGAGGATAAGGTGGTCTGTGGGGGTGGGAAGCAAGAGAAGTTGTTGATCAAAGGGTACAAAATTTGGGGCTCTGGGGCTATAGCTCAGTGGTAGAGCATGTGGCAAGGCCCTGAGTTTGATCCCCAACACTGCAAAAGAGAGGAAAGAGGGAAAGAAAGAAAAGAAAGGAAGAAAGAAAGAGAGAGAGAGAGAAAGAGAGAGAGAAAGAGAAAGAAAGGAAGAAAGAAAAAGAAAGAAAGGAAGGAAGGAAAAGAAAGAAAGGAAGAGAGAAGTTTTAGTCAGAAGGAATAGTATGAAACTGATTATACAGCAGGGTGTTTGTAGTCCATAATATACTATATATTTCAGATTAACTAGAAAGTAGATTTCAAATGTGTCACTATGAAAAATAATAAGCAAGGTGAGGGGTATACTAATTACTTTGATTTGATCATTCTTCATTATACACATATATCACCTATGCCCCTACATAAATGTACACTGTTATGATTTATCAATAAAAATAATATTTAAAGAAAATATATAATAGCCAAGCATGGTCACACTCTATCTCAAAAAATAAAAAGCTCTGGGGATATATAGTTCAGTGTGAGGCCTTGGGTTCAACCTCCAGTAAAAACAACAACAAAAAGATATAAAATATAATATGAAGTGTCTCCTTAGTATTTTATACTGATTGTATGTTACAATGATAATATTTTGAATACATTATGTTAAATAAAATACATTACCCCAGAAAGAACAGGTTGCTCTGATATTTCCAGTAACTATGTCATCAGCAAAACCAAAACATTAGTAATGCCAGAAATTCAGTTCAATAATTTTCTGCACCATGGTAGGAGCCCTGTGAAACCTGGCAATTCCACTCTTACAGCATCTCTCATATTTTTAATTAAAATATTATTGAACTTGAGAAAAGGGTACAAAACAATGAAACATATCAGCCTGGAAGTTCTCTGTAGGTATCAGATGATTTCTTGACACCTCTGAGCGCATCAAGTACTGATGTATTAAAACAAACCACGCTTGAGTCAGTCACTACTTCACTCCAAAGGTAACATTCAGGTTTTAATACAATAATCTATTCACTGCCAGTATATTCCCAATTATTATTCTAGAAATCAAACTGGGCAATCACTTATTTCCCTACTTTTTAAAAAGATGAGCTCTGGTAATTTCAGATCCTGTGGATTCAGTTCTTTCTTCCAAATGCTGTAAGGTGATAAAGGGGTACCCTGACCCAACTCCCTTCTGCGTCTTCCACACACATCCCACCTGTGCCCTTGTGGGATCCCACAAGACACACAGATAAGAATGTATGGTGGGAGGTGATTACGCAAAGGGGGTGAAGGTGACAAGGACAGCACTTGCCCCATGTCCTCTTTGAACCTAGCCACACCCATTGAGAACATGAGGGTATGATGTTCTAGGATGTTCTGTGTCCAGCCAAGCACGCTGACCTGCTGCTTCTCCATTTCATTCCAAACACTCCAGGATGGCCAGTGTCAGTCCTGGAGTCTCACTCTCAGGGTCTTACCACACAATGGGCTGTCACTAAAAGGACAGAATGAGGTCTACAAAAGGGACATTTCCAAATGCTTTTTCAAGGATCCTTGCTGTAATCTCCTTTGAAGAAAGAACTGGACGACACAACAGGGAAAGGGGTAGAAAGGGCATTTTGTTGTGCTCAAGTGTGACAGTGTGGAAGATCAACAGCATGGGCAGGCAAGGTGGGGCATGACCCAATCTGGGGCCCTGGATGAAGCAGAACACCACCTATTGTCTCTCCTAGTTCCTTCCCTACCTGGAATGGTATGGGAAAATTTCAGAATTCCACAGTCAAGTTTCAGTGTGCTCTGACAGTCATGTTTAGTTTTAGTTACTCAGTCTGTGAGTAACTAAACTCTGCATGAACATGGTTAAAGCTTACCAATAACTCCAAGCTCAGCTGCAAACATCAGCGCAATCCCAATGGGAAGACCAATCACATAATACCCAATGGTATTAACAATGGCTCCAACCTTCTGGTTTCCAGTTCCCCTCAGGATGCCACCACTTGTACACTGTAGGTAGGTAACATTCCATCAGTGTGAGCATTGGTGGGGTTCTGAAAGACCCCTACCACCCAAGCACAGACCTACCACTTCATGGTAGACGTAAAAACTCATGACGACGTGACAATGTTCTGCAGAAATGACCATGATAATAATATTCCTACATTACCCTCTTCCCTGCTGAAATTTACCCTCATTGTAAGAAATATATAACAGATAATGTGTGTGTTTAAAGGACTTCTGCAAAATACTCACAGCAAGACCTTCAAAGAGGTGGGTCACAGCATAAATTGGGACCACCTGAGCCACCAGAGCAATGATGTCTCTGTCCAGAAAATAAAGCACATGGTAATTAGCAGGAAACAAATGTATAGAAAAGAAAAATTTCAGTTCTCCAATAATAGGACTCCACTTCTGTTCCAGCTCAGCATGGACATGTGTTCTAGTTAAGACTCTGGGCAGGGTCAATTCTACAGTTGCTGGCCCACAGAAGAAACCGGTTGTATATTGTAGTTTGTGACTTTTAGAAAAAATACATAGTCTATTTGATCAATGTAAAACAATCAAATATTTGGAACATCTACCCCCCACCCAAATTAAAATTTAGGTTATACTGCCATCCTTCTTTTAACATGGATTCCTTCAGCCAAGTCTGTGTGTCCCCATGGTTGAATGAAGCATTACAAAGTAAGTTAGGGTGCTCTCCATGAAGGGCTGAGGGCCTAGCATGTGTGAAGCCCTGGGTTCCATCCCTAGTGAAGGCCATAAATACATTTTGCAGAATTATCCTTAGTACCTAGAAATGGGCTTAACCCTGATGGTAAAGACTTGGATTTTAATGCCTAATTGTAATGGGAAATGAGAAAAATTATACCACTGGCCTGGAAAGATAAGGAATTTGTACTCTTGAGTGGATTGGTCACAAGTAAACCTAGATCAATCTCTGACAGTAATTTTTTTCTAATACTGGAGATTGAACCCAGAGCCTTCTGCATGTTAGGCAAGTGCTCTACCACTGAGCCATTTCCTCGGTCCTTTTTATGTTTTATTTTTATTTTGAGATAGGGTCTCACTAAGTTACCCAGGCTGGTTCTGATCCTCCTGCCTCAGCTTCCCAAGTAGCTAGTGGTATTGTGTGCCCAGCTAATAAATGTTGAGAGAATGAATAAATAAGTAATCTAGGACTGAAAATGATAAAAACTTCCATCCCCTCAAAGGGGAATTTAATTTTTGAATAGGTAACATATGCAAACAGTTAAAGAAATCAAACAATAGGAAAAGGAGAGTGAGAAAAGCCCTGTAGCCTCTGGTATACCAGGCCGCGGCATTACCAGCCCGTCCCCCAGGAATAATGATTACTAGTTTTGGTATTTGTCTAGTGTTTATGAAATACATGAGCAAGTATAATGAATACTTTTAATTTCCCCTTTTATACTCCATCCTTCGTATATAGCATTCTCTACATGATATTATACATCTTCCCTTTTCCACCGAATATATTATATTCACTTTTATATTTCACAAAAATATATTAATTTCAATGTATTGTCAAATTCTGTCTACTAATATTTTACCTTGGATTTGTATTTTACTGCTGGAGATGAACCCAGGATGTTGTGCATGCTAAGCAGGCGCTCTACTTTTGAGCTACACCTCCATCTCCTTACAAGTATTTTGGATTTTTATACCAATATTAGCGAGAATAATCTGTGATTTTCTTTTTCTATGTGCAAATTTCATCCGTTTTCATACCACCATTATATTTGCTTCATAAACAGAATATGGAAGTTTCCTTTTCCTGTCCTCTAGAATAGTGAGACATCTTTGGATATGACTACATACCTATTAAAGATTTGATAAAATTCTCCTCTGGAACCCTCCGGAATTGGTGCTTTGGGCATTTCAAAACAACTTTCCTTTATAAGGAAATCACTTTATTTAGACCTTTTCTAAGTAAGTTTTGATCAACTATTTTCCTAAAAAATTATCTATTTCTTCCAGCTTTTTAAAAGTTCCTTACAAAAGTTTGTGCAAATTAGTCTCTTAGAAGTGTGTGTGTGTGTGTGTGTGTGTGTGTGTGTGATACTGAGGACTGACCCCAAGGATGCTCTACCACTGAGTAACTCCCCAACCTTTTTTATTTTGAGACAGGGTCAAACTTAAGATCCTCCTGACCTTCCTGCTTCCTCCTCCCAAACTGCTGGAATTGTAGGCACATGCCATCACACCCAGCTAGTCTCAGAATTTTTAAAAAGTGATTGTGTCCTATAGTAATTTACTCCCCTCTTCTTTGTGCAGAGATGTCTTCTCCTCCCCTCTGCTGTAATTAGTTGAGGCAATGTTTCACTTATTTCATTAATTTTGCTGGTTTCACTTAATCCTGGTTGCTTAGTGACAGTGATAACATTCTGAGAAGAGTTAGCTGGTGTGTGATCACAGAGTGAACTTACACAAACTTACACAAACCCACAGAGAATTGCATGTTGTAGTTCATGACTTACACAAACCCAGATAGTACAGCCTGCTAATATACCAAAGCTGTATTTTGTGTGTGTGTCTGTGTATCATACAGCTTGGTGCCTTGATGGATGTGATGAATAAAACAACACAACATACAATCAAGCACAAGAGAAAAGGATACAGTTAATTGACACAATAAATAGATGTATGGGGCTGCTGCTGGTGTAGCACTGCATATCATCTCACAGAAAATAGGTTTTTATAAGTAGGAGTACATTCTAAAATAACAATTAAATACTAAACCAATAACAACCATGAATTGTCAAGTATCATGTGTACCTAAATACACATGCTGTGCTTTCATACAACTGGCAGTGCAGGCTTATACACTAGTGTATAAGCCTTACTTACAAAGATATGATTAAGGCATCAACTGCAACAGTGTGGCCACTGTAACATCACCAGCTGCTAGAACAGGACCTTTTCAGTCCCATTATAACCTTATGGGCCCACCATCCTATATTTGGTGCAGATCATTATGTTGTACATGATGATAATTTGATTTTTGAGTTTCCTACATCCCCTAATTTCAAAGATATAATATGTGAGCCTTTTGTTTTCATTTTTCTTCCTATCCAGAAGTGGGTAGATTCAAAATACAACTTCTCCATATTCCCACCAGAAACATCACTGTATCCTGGACGTCAGGATATCCTGATTCCCTTTGAAAAAATTATAACTCTCTAGGTTGCATTCCCTACTCATTCTGAGGTGAAAAATCTGTAACAGAATGACAGAGACAGAAAAACAACCTATCATCTAAAGACATAGGATAAATAAGTGAAGAATAAACTGTGAACGTTAATCCTGTCCACTCTACTGGCTTTTTAAATCCATGAAGAGAATGTCTATTTGCATTATGTGATTGTTAATAAAGATATTCCAAATAAGTAAAACCATGATTTTTTTTTTTTTGGTACCAGGGATCGAACTCAGGTCCTTGCATTTGTGCAGCAGGTGGCAAAACCAATGAGCTAAATCCCTGGCCCAAACCCATGATTTTTTTGAGATAAGATCTTGCTATGTAACTCAGGCTGGCCTCAAAGTTGTGATCCTCTTTCCTCATCCTCCCATGTGTTAGGCCCATATTTCTATATGGCTAGAATATACCTGCTACTCACTCTGAGAAAGGAAAAAACAGAGTACAGGAAGGATTTATCACGCACAAGAATTCTTCAGCAACAATCTGATGCTGTGATTTCTGAAACAACTCATAGGTGAGATTTTAACTTCAATTTTAGTTTGACAAATATCACGCAAACTTTATCAATTAGGTAGTTTGGCAGATACCAAGATACTAAGATGATTCTTGTCATTGGGGCCAAAATACAGGTTGACTATCCCTGATCTGAAGCACTTGGGATTAGAAGTGCTCCAGAGTCCAAATTTTTTCAGATTTTGGGTATTTGAATATAAATAATGAGATTTCTTAGTGATGGGACTCAAATCTAAACACAAAATTTATTTATGTTTCACATATACCTTCTACACATAGCCTGAAGTGATTTTAGACATTTTTTCATGCATGCCTGCATTTTGACTGTGACCCTGTCACACCTGTGACATCATCTCAGAAAGTTTCAGATTTTGGAGGGTTTCCAATTGCAGGTTTGGAATGCTCAACCTGTAATTCACTGAAAATGTAATCAGTGGTAACAAAAGGGAGGGTTTTTTAAATAACATGACTAGTCTGACCACCAGAAGCATAGTACTACCACTAATGCCCATTATATTTGCGTTTGAGATTACAAATCAGTTCCATCTAATCTGTTCCTCCCAAGTAACATCAAGTGAGTTTCTAACCTTGCAAATGATTCAGACACCCCTCAAAGATGCACCTATCCCAGGGCTTGCCCATGATAGCATCTATCCAACTTAACCAGTTTTATACCACAGATTTCACATTTCAAGAAAATCCTAGCACTCAGCCAGGCATGATGGCCCACACTTGTAATCCCAGCACTGAGGCAGGAGGATGGCAAGTTCAAGTCCGGCCTCAGTAGTTCAGTGACATAGTAAGGCTCTATCTCAAAATTTAAAAGGGGGAGAGGGGCTGAGGACATAGCTCAATGTGAATGCACCAGGTTGAATCCCTGTACTGCAAAAAGAAAAGAGAAGGGAGAGGAAGAGGGGGAGGGGAAAAGAGGAAGAGGAGAGAGAGAGGGAAAGAGAAGGGGAGGGTGGGAGGAGGAAGCAGAAAATCCAGCACTTACCTGTCAGTAGTGAAAATGTACCCCAAAAGGTCCTTACAGCTTAACAGCAGGACACAAAAGGTTACCGCGAAGAGCTCTGGAAATAAAAGGGCAGAAGAAATGGCACAGTGAACAAGGTCCATTATTGTTGGCTACTAAATGTCCCCCACAGGCTCCTGTGTTAAAGGTCTGGCTCTCAGTGCAGCAGTGTTCAGAAGTGGGGCTTGTAGGAGGTGACTGGATTATGAGGGTTCTAACCTCAGCAGTGGATTTGAATCCACTGATGGATCCACACTTTGATGGCATTACTGGAAGCCTGTGGAAACTTTAGGAGGTGGGCCTAGCTGGAGGAATAGGTCACTGGGGATGTGTCTTTGCAGGGTATATCTTGTCCTCCACCCTCCTCTCTCTGCTTCCTGGCTGCCATGAGTTGAGAAGCTTTGTTTCACAATGAGCTCCTATCCATGATTTTCAGCCTCCCCTCAGACCTGCAGCAATGGGGCCAAGCAACCATGGACTGAAGCCTCTAAAAGCATGAGCCAAAATAAATCTTTCTTCCTTTAAGTTGATTTTCTTGGTTCTTTGTTATAACACTGGAAAGCTGACTAACAAGGTCTGCAGGAAATGGGGAAGACTGCATACACCACGAGGCTTAGACAAATTGATGTAAGCACCTGTGACCAACAGGGAGACGACTGAGGACTTCTTTGCCTGTTCAATGTTTCCAGCACCCAACGCATTTCCTACCCGGACGCTGGCTGCCACACTGAAGCCTGTAGGGACCTAAAATGAAAAGGAAACCTACAACAGCAAAACTGCAGGGTGAGAAAGTGGAACAGAGGAGCAGCCTCATGCCTAGCACCTTACTGGCAAATCTAGGTCCTATAAGTTCTGAAGACTCATTTGCAGTATCTCCGTAGTCCAGTTGGGAGCCACCAGGGAAAATATGGAACTTGGATCCCCAGGTTATGATGCTCATCATAAACTGGGCTTTTCCACAGAGCATCCAACTTCTGCCATAGAGGAACCCATGCAAACATATTCCTCCTCTGAGAATCAGAGGTGAGAAAGAGGGATTAGCAGCTTGGAGTTCAGGCTAGTGCTGTTCTGAAAGAACACTAAGGGACTAAGTTGAGAAGGCAGGAATGGTACTAATGGAACTATAAAGAAGCAACATTGCACTGTGTTTAGGAATCAGGACTCTGAAGCCAGAAAGTCTGAGTTCAAATTCTGACACAGACATTTGTCAACTGTGTGACTCCAGGCAAGTTACTTCTTTAGACCTCCACTGTTTTATCTGTAAAAAGGCTTTAGACATGGAACCGACCCCTTAAGGTTATTGTGGGGCTTTACTGAGTCCATACATGCTAAGTGCTTAGAATAGTGTGTCCCATGTAGTAAATGCTCAATAAAGATTTGCCATTACTATTATCAATAAATTTATCACTTGAGAGTTATTAATAAAGAAAAAAGATTCATCACTCACTTGAATGTGAATGTTGCTTTACAGTCAGGGTAACTAAGGACAGGGTTAAAGAAATCTGACACACAGATTGAAGACTGTAAAAGAAATGGAACACTGGATCCCTGCCTGCCAGCTCACTACAGCAACATTCAGACCTCCTCCACTAAATGGTGTCCTCACCACAAAGGGAGAGACAGGAATGTGACAGGGGGAAAGCTAGCAGGTACCATCTTAACCAAGCAACCAAATTAATCTCACTGAAGAGGGGACAGTCAACATCCAGCACCTCCTGGTATGATGCCCTGAGAAGGACACAACATCACTTCTACTTTTCCTGCCCAAAACAGATGGTCTGGATCTGTGCAGGAAGAAATAGCACCAGCACATTGAGGGAAATTCTACAAACAGTGGCCTGTGTTCTTCAAAAATGCCAAGGTCAAAGAGGACAAAGAAAGGTTAAGGATCTGTTCCAGATTAGAGAACATTAAAGAGATGTGTCACAGCTGGGTATGATAGCACACACCGGTAATCTCAGCCATTCAGGAGGTTGAGGTAAGGTCAAGCCCAGCCTGGGCAATTTAGTGAGTCAAGCCCAGCCAGTCTCAAAATAAAAATAAGGTCTGGGGATGTAGTTCAGTGGTTAGAAACAACAACAACAAACTAAACACACTGGTTCGATCTCTGGTAGCACACACAAAAAGAGATACATTGTCACCTTAATGCCAGGTAAAAAGAATAATTACAAAGAACATTACTGAAACAATGGATGGTATTTGGCTACAGACCATGTACACGGATGGAAAGACAGATAGATAGAGAGATAGAGAGATAGATAAATAGATAGAGAGATAGATAGATAGATAGACAGACAGACAGACAGATAGATAAGGTGAGCCAGTAAATGGAGCAAAATGTAAACAGTAAACCTGTGGAATAAAGGGCATACATCCTTCTTTTGATTAGGGAGAAATAGAAATACACATTCTTACAAGCCTAATGGAAAGAATATGGCAACATATCCAAAAGACTTAAAATTGTATACAAGTTTCACTGGTAGGAAAAAGAAACAATCAAGCAAGTGTACAGACATATTTGCCTAGGGATATTCACTGAGGTACTGTTAATGTTGAAAGATTGGAAATTAAATATTCAACAGTGCAAGACTGGTTTAAAAACTATACCACACGCAGTGGGAGTACTAATGCTCCATTAAGCATTTTGACTTAGATACAGTCTAAAAATGTAGTGAAATATAAAAGGTAAATAAAACATAAAAATTGAAAAGTACAGGTTAAAACATTCTGCCAGTGATAGAAAAAACAAAAACTAAAAACACAGGCCCATAAGAGAATGATTCTTAAAGAAAATAGGAAATGTATATTTTAAATATAACCAATGGGTGATGGAATCTAAGAGTTAATACCATAAAAAATACAAAAATATGCTGGCTTTAGTCTCTTTCCATGTTACAAATGCCTCTTTCCGGTTTTACTGTTGGTTTGGTTTGGTTTGGTTCTGCAGTGGTGGGGATGAATCCCAGGGCCTCGAGTATGCTAGGCAAGCCCTCTAACATTGAGCTAAACCCCCCAGCTCCCACCTTCAATTGTATGTTTGTAAAGTGGTACTTGCTATAGAAGAGAATTCTTCAGAATTTGCAGTTGATGAATCCAGTAAAAAAATTTACAGAAAAGTTTCTAACAACTATAGTTCTTCTCTAGACTATCAAAACGTCCTCCCTTTCAAAGGCTAATACCCACTGTGTGCACACACATTTCATCCAGGCTTCATCTGTTAGTGATGGTCACTGGGTGGCCAACACCCACTGGCCATAGTGAGTAATGCTGCTGTGAACACTGTCCAAGTGTCTGCTTGAGGTGCTACTTTGGATTCTTTTGGGACTCTCCCTTAGGGGTTCCACTGTCAAGTAGGACTAGGCAGGAGCTGGCATGGTGACATACAAGTAGCTTAGCATTTATGGCAATCCCCCCAGTTTCATCTTACCTGGCCTCTTGAAGCCTTTCTGTTGTGACAACTGAAAAAGATGCCCAAAGTGTGGAAAAACAAGTCTTTCAGATTTGAACTATGTTAGAGACGGAGAATCAGCAGAAATTTGGAATTTCTGCCCATCCCCGCCTTTAGCTCACAGGGAAGATCAGCTACACCATTAAGACCTTCCTCAGCTCTAGAACAACAGTTTATTTTGGTCACTCATTTCACAAATTATTACTTGTAACACTAATGCCTGTGTTCATCTGTAGTGCCCTTTCAGAGCATCAAGCAAGGGAAATGTCTAACATCTACACAGCAGCTCTGAGACACTCACCATGTACACAATGACAGCCAGCTCGTATACAATGGACTGGGCTCCCAGTTCCACCATGCCAAGGATACCTAGTGAACAAAGACAGCTGACACCCTGCTTCTGGACAGGCTCCCCCACATTCCCTCCTGTCACCCCATCATCTGCACACATACCACTCAGGAAGCTCCCGATCTCGTAGGCCCACCACTCGATGCACAGCATGAACATGCTGGGGATGGCCAGGTGAAGGAAAGAGGCCCAGTCCTGCAGGCACTCAAGCGACCAGCCTGCAGGCACAACACACACATTTCCAACATATTGGGCCATGGGGCTGCAACTCAGCCTCAGCCCAGGGCAAAGCCACATCCAAGATGAAAGAAAAGACAGTGTTTACCTCCCCACGTAGCTTCATGCAATTTTCTCCCAAAGATGTAGAGAAAGAGGAGAAGAGCTAGGGTGAACTGGGAAATGGTATTGGCCAGTGCAGAACCCCTAGAAAGAAGGGTCCCCGTAAGGACAGGTGCTCTGTGCCCCAGAGCCTGCACGACTCTCTCTGAGGTGCAGAGCTGTCCACCCCTTGTTGCGCCCTCTTCTGTAGGCCCTGAGCCATCTTCTTCCCCGGGCAGTATCCCCACCAATGTTTTCCAGGGTGGCACAAGGAGGTCACACATGGACCCATTAAAGTGCTCACTCTTCTCGCCCTTGAAAAAGCCACATGCAAGTCATTCCTCCTCCCTGTCCCAAGAGGAAGCGGAACTCACGTCACTCCAAGGTGCAGCTGATAGAGAAATATATAGTTGGCAAAGGCATTGACAAGGTTGGCTGCAACTCCAGTCACAATCTGGGGCAGAACAATTCCCTGGAACAAGGAGACACTGCAGGCTACACTTACCAAGACATACATTAGGCGCCAGCTCTGCCAGTGTCCCAGCAGGAGGGGTTAACTGAGTTTACCACATCCTTGCCACTCCTACCTTCCCATTCTCCCTTCTCACCTCTTCCTCCTCTCTTTGGAGCATGAAGTATGGAACTCTGGCCACATAGTGACAAAAGCAGGAGAAAAGGCAACAGAGAAGGAAGAAGAGAAATGCCTCACCTGTAAGGGTGGGAGGGCTGGCAGGGGCATGTTTAAAGTTGACACTGTAGACAATGATGTTTAGTGGGTAAAAGAACAAAACTATCTCGACCAAAATTGAAATTCAGAAAACTGACCAGAGAAGACCTTGTGGAACTAGTGTTCCTTTCTGGAATATGGAATAGACTCTATCATAGCTGACCTGAGAAGCAGGGGCAGAAAAAACACCTAGTCTGTTTGGAATCTCAAAGACTTAGGGGCTCTGTATAGAGCTCAGTCATAGAGCACTTACCGTCTTTTGCAAGTTGGGTGTTCTCCTTGTTTTTGTACTAATGATTGAACCAAGGGCTTTGGCACTGGGTTACATCTCCAGACATTTTTGTTTTGTTTTGGACTTTGAGATAGGATCGGACTAAGTTGCTGAGTTACTCAAGCTGGACTTGAACTTGCAATCTTCTCGCATCAGCCTTCCAGATTACGGGAATTACAGCTATGCACCACAACACCCGGCAAGCTTTACAGTTTGCAAGGAGAAGAGGACTTGAGTCCATGTCAGGACAAGATCGTGGCTGACCTTCCACGGACCACTTATTTGTCAGGAGCTCCTGGTTAGTTTTCAGCAAAGGAGTCTGTGATCAGATCTACATTTCAGACGGACGGTAGAAGTAGCAGCAGTGTAGGATAGACCCAGGAAAAAGGTGGCAGCAGGGAGACTAGTTAGATCCTACAGAAATGACACAGAGGGCAAATGACAGAAAATAAATTCAGGTAGTGGCAGAGCAAAGAAGAAGGAATGAGTAGGACCTATGGGACCAGGTGACTGGTTACTGGAGGAGGAGGAAAAGATGAAGTCACAGGTATGATGGGCCTATGAAGGACAGGTGACAGGAAGAGAAAGCAGTGGAGGCCCCTGAACTGGGATCCAAGAGGCCAGCAGCAGGCGCTGGGGGCAAGATGAGCTGGTCAGGTATGTAACACACGTGCCTCTCCTAAAGGGAGCTAGGAAGGAGGTCTGGAAGTCAGACAGACAGATGCAGAGCCATGAGCACACAGATGGAAACTGGACACAGGTAAGGGGGAAGTTCTCAGGGAAAGTCACAGAGGCACAGGGCAGCCACCCTCTGCTCCATCATCCTCTCACTCTCCACCAGAAAGCCAAGGCCTGCCTGGATCTCCTCCACCCTCTCCCACCCTCACCCTCTTTCAGGTTGTTAACCTTCTCCAAACAACCAGGTACTTCTTTTGGTTCTGTATGTAGTTACTGGCCAGATGCCTCCCTAGGGAGGCCCCCAAGACAGAAACTTCGAGTTGCAGTGCCACCCTGTCCTGTCCCCACTCACCTGCCCCCACCCACCTGCCATCTCCTTCTACAGAGACCACCCAGGGCAATTCTTCCTCATGGACCAACATCAGACCACCACTTCTATAACTCTCATCTCTGCCCAGCCCTTCAGTTTGTTCCCTACAAACTGAAATCTGTAGCAGAGAACACAAGGCCCCGCTCCAGCAGACGCTGCACCAGAGTCCTAATGCCATTGTCCACTGTGTCTCCCACACTGCAGCAACCAAACACATTCTGCATGTCACAGCCCTGTGAATAGCCCTGCTGCTCCACTCTCTGGGACCTTTCCCCCTGCCCCACCTGGAAAGCCATACATGTCCACCATAATCCAATTCACATCTCCAATTCACCCCACTCCACCCCAACCCCATCCTTCCCTTGGCCTTGGGATGCAGAAATGTGAAGAGCTCATAGCCACTATCTTCACTTAAGCAAACCTGAACCTGAGGTTAAAGTCACCAAATTGCTGGGAGGTTGACAGCCAGGGAGGAGACCCTGGGAGGTGCTTAGGGTTCTATCTGCTTCCAACTAGGTTCTCATCTGAAGAACACAGCCCAGAGATGAACCAAAAACACTAATTTCCTTTTCTCACCTATAACTAGTTCAAGTATATAATTCACATGCTAATAACGTATGTAAATATTATTATTTTGTTAATATGGTAGTACCCTAAATTAAGATCATTAAGTAGGGAGGAAACTCTCTCCTTTTCTTTCTTGTTACATATTTTGGAAAGTGTGGCAAGAATCCATGATCTGGTCCCACATTTTCTTGGATTTGTCTAAAAGGAATAGTCCATATCCCACATCATATGCTAGAATCATACATCCACACCTACCAAGTGAGGCTAACTATGTCGGGGTCTCTGGCCAGTTCTGTGAACCATATGTGAAGATGCCTGACTGACATTAGGTGTCATTACTATTTGAGCTTTTGTGTCCCCAATGGAAAAATCAAGGGCTTTCAGACAGAGCTGAGCAGCAAGGCTGGCCTTCTGGGGCCTGATGGGCCACTGTAACCCTAAGCTTTCTCCGAAGAGCAGACAGGCCTGAACCCTTCCCTCCAGAGAGCCAAAGAAGGTGGCAGCTCTGATGCTAATAATGCCAATGACAATATTTCCAAGTGGGAATTGGATACGAATTTTCCAGAGCCAAAAGTAATGTTCTCGCTCCCTGATATCACTTAACAAACCTCTCCACATCAAAGTCCTGTGCATACAACCCTGAAAACATCTTTCAGCGGCTCTAAGAAGGGGAACTCCCTCCACCCTGGTTTCCCTGACCTCTGAGTATTTGCAGGGTCCCCACTCTCACAGCTCCCCACCCAAGGAAAAGGACCATCCACATTACCTGGTTGAGGAGGTATTTAACTTGTAATGTATAAAGAAAGGCTGCCTATAAGAGAGCAAGAGGTGAATGTTAACAGCGAGGCTGGACATAACATCAGTGAGCTGGGAGCCACAGCTGGCTTGTGCTATAACCAAGGCCTGGCTGCTCTTTGCTCCTGCCCAGGGACACAGAGGTGGGGGTAGGGCAGGGCATTTGTGGTCATTTCCTTTACGGATGAACATGATCCAAGCTCCCCATCCAACCTCCTTCCCCAACTGGCAAAAGGAAATGTAATTTCCTTCAGTGCATGACAAGGATTTTCCTAGGGACATTGGGATAAAACTCGGATGACCCTTCCTTGTAGACCAGGGTACCATCCTATTAGGTGGAACAATGAAACAATATCACATGAAAAATATTAAGTGTGGGGCTGCAGTGTAGCTAAGTAGTAGAGGACTTGTCTAGTGTGTGAAGCCCTGGGCTCAATCTCTAGCACCACAAAAACATACAAATAAAATTTTTTAAATATAAAAATAAAATTAAAGATTTTAGGAAAAAGAGGGAAAATGGTTATTGTTACGAGCTGAATTATGTGTCCCAAATTGACACACTGAAGCCCTATCCTCCACACACATGACCCTTTGGAGGTCATAAAAGAGCTGATAAAATTAAAATTAAGGAGTCAGGGTGAGGCCCTAATTGGTGCTCTTTACTTACTTACACTTTTTTTTTTTTTTGGTGGTACTGGAGATTGAACCCGGTCTTCTCATTAAGCTACATCCCCAGCCCCCAATTTTTTATTTTTTATTTTGAGACAGGGTCTCTATTAAGTTGTTAATTTGCCCAGACTAGGCTTGAATTTGTGATTCTCCTGCCTCAACCTCCCAGATTACTGGGATTATAAATTGATTGATTTTTCATTCATTCATTCATTCATTCATTCACAGTACCAGGGACATGCTAGGCAAGTGCTCTACCACTACACCACACTTTTTATTTTTTATTTTGAGGCAGTCTCACTAAGTTGCTCAAAGTAACAAGAGGATGACTATGTTACATGGCAGCAAAAGGGCAGCCATCTGTAAGCCGAGCCGAGGCCACAGAGGAAAGCAACCATGCCCACACCTTGACCTTGGATATATGGTTTCCAGAACTGTGGAAAAAATGCATTTCTGTTGTTTAAGCCCATCAGCCTTTGGTATTCAGTTACAGAAGCCTCAGCAAACTAATTCAGCTATGCTGTCCAACTGGATAAACTTAGCTTTGATACTTCATTGACCACACAAAAGTGAGTGTCAAACATTAACACCCACTGATAGTTCTGTGTGACCCCCTTCAGCAGACACAGAAAAGTCTAAAGATCAAAGCGATGCCCTTAGAGATTCTGAACTGGTTATGACTTTAACCCTAAAAAAAAAAGAGTCTAGACTCTTCTCCCTGGATGATCTCAAAGGCCCCTCCAGCAGTGGGAATTTAAGACAACGGTCTCTTGAAGTTGAATTGCCCACCTGGTGTTTGAGTTATGTTGGTTATGTCCTTAATGGTCATAATTAAAACCATGCTTCCATGAAGGGGTCAATGTCATGTGTGAGAATCATGTAACACTGAACTAGACATGGTGCTCAGGAATGTTGCAGCCACTTTTCACCCACAGACCCCCGAGAAGGGAACCTCTGAACCCTTCAAAACTTACAGGAAGAGCTGGAATGAAGATCATGACATAGGTCTGGGTAAGCCTATATAATGAAAAGATTAAAATCACCACCAATGACAGAGGCCTCCATTTCACCAGAAAGAGAGACAGAATAAAATAACTAACGACTAAAGTTGTCTGCTGCATTCTCCACTCTTTCTAAATAAATAGACTTCAACTACCAGAACAAATAGGAAAATTTAGACATAAAGCTTGTCATAACCCAAATTACCTTTCTTGCTTTTCCAAGTCTTTAAGTGAAGGACAGGGTTTCTCAACATTGCACCATGGCCAGACAACGCTATTCAGGAACTGTCCTGTGCATCACAGGATGTCTGCAGCCTGCCTCTCAACCAGAAGCAGGCCCCATAACCAGCTGAGATACCCAGAAATGTCTTCAAAGACTGCCGCATGCCCCCTGGGTTCAGAGCTGCTAGTTGAGAGCTAGAATTTCTTAATTTTAAAGGTCTTAATCAGTTAAATAGTGGGTCTCAAACATGGCAGCTCATTGGAATCATGTGGGAAGCTTTGAAAGCTACTGATGCCTAGGCCGCTCCCTAGATCAATTAAAAGAATGGGGGAGGAGGGCCTAGAGATACACACCAGGATTTGAAGCACACAGATGATTTTAATACTAACTATAGTTAGGAATTACTAAGCTATAAATAAACACTGCAAACTACCATGCCACATACAGAAGATATTCACAAATCTTTTTTTTTTCTTGGTCCTAGGGATCAAACCCACATGCCCTGCATGCTTGACACGCCTTCTATCTCTGAGCTATGTCCCCAGAAGTTTGCAAATCTAATTCCACTCAAAACTCTGTGCCCTGGAAGTCCTTCAGAGGATGAGGGGTCTAGATCTTAGGAGCCAGATAAAATAGTTACTGAGGCCTGGGTGGGAGGGGCCAGCCTAGGAGAACTTGTTCCTACCCTTTGTAACTCCCAGAGGCTGAGCCTGGATGGATGGGGGTTTTTGCTAGGATTCATGCTGAACCCACCATGACAGCCCCATCTTACCTGGACACGTCTGGATCCTGCCTGAAGAGCAGCAAGATGTGCTGGGTGTTGAGGAAGAGCGCCCAGCAAGGAAAGCAGCAGAGCAGCAGAATGAGTGTGCCCCTCTGCAGGATCACCCCCACGTGCTTCAGGTTCTGGCTCCCGTAAGTCTGAGGTGCACTCAGCCAAAACAAAATCATTAGCACAGAAACAATACATCCCCATCCCCACCCCCCAAAGCCTTCAGCTGTGCCTCTACATGCCCTAGAGAATTCGCCATATGCCTTAGGGAGGAGGCATATGGTGAAAAAGACATGAGGTTTTAGAACATGGGGAGCATTTAAAAAGCACAGATGCCAGGGTCCTACTAAAGATATTCTGGATTGGGACTCAGCAATAATTTTTAAAACTTTCTCATGCGACTCTAACATGCAGTAAGAGTTGCATAACCTGCAAACTTGCTAAAAATGCAAATTCTGGGGCCTCACTCCAGAACTTCTAAAGCAGAGACTCTGGGATCAGGGCCAGTGGTGTAAGGAGACCGCTTCCTATAGACTTACAGGAGCCAAATTGTGCACATGTCTTTTTTTTTTTCTTGGTACCGGGGATCGAACTTGGGACTTCCCGCTTGCAAGACAGGTGGCAGAATCACTGAGCTAAATCCCCGGCCTTGTGCACATGTCTTACAGCTTCATGTTCCGTGAACTCTCTGAGATAGCTTCAGGCTAACCATAGAGGGAAGGCTTACACCACTGGCATTAGCAAAACAGACAGTGCTCAACTCAGGATGGACTGACTTACAACTTTTTGACTTTAAGATGGTGCAAAAGGGATATGAATTCAGTAGAAAGAAGTTGCACTTTGAATTTTGACTTTGAATCCTTCCTGTGCTAGCAACATGTGGTATACTCCTCTGATGGGAAGCTGGGTCGTGACAGCAAACCACTGCTCCCAGTTAGCCACATGATCACAAAGGGAACTGCTGATGCTCTACAGTACTGTTTTGCTAAGCCAGGATGTTCCATAGGTTAAGTGAATTCAATGCATATTTTCAATTTATGATGGGTTCACTGGGATGTCAGTAGACAAGTCAGAATGTTTCCCTTCTACTCCTGTCCACCTCCCTCCAAGGAGGATGTTGAACATTCAGACACTCAGGGGTTGGGGATTAGCAACCTGTGCTTTGACAAGCCCTCCAGGTGATTCTGACACAGGCTCAGGTTTGAGAACCATAGGACTATAGCAACTAAAACATGGGTAACAGGAGGGACTTTTACAAAGTGTCCCCTGTTTGGTCAGAATATAGGATAAAGCAGCCATCAGATCAATGGTAGCTTACAAGGCTGAAAGAAACCCACACATCCTACAAAGAATGGAGGTAAGAAGCGCTGAAGTCAAGAGCTGATAAAAAGCTGTAGGTCACACACACACACACACACACACACACACACACACGTGCCTCTGGCCTCCTGGCTGTGCCGGTAACTGGTTCCACACTACAGAGGCACAGGGGGTCATAAAGGCCATTGTCCTGAGCTCCAGAAGATAGAGCAGAAGTGAACAACAGAAGGAGGGCCTCTCTCAGGCTCCTTGATGAAAACTGAAGCCCACTGAAAAAATGAAGAGAATCTCTGCAATAAAGGCACACCAGACCACTGTACTTGGTAAGTTGGAGGGATCATCACCTTCCATCGGAACCTGGAGCTGGAACCTGCAGTAGAACCTTGCAGAGTTCAACCCTGCAGGAGGACAGGGAGCTCAACTTGGGACTTGCAGCCAGAAATCTGCCTGAATCTCATGGGTCTGCTACTGTCTTGCTGAGACTCATTGACTTATATCTGCACACTGCTGCCCACATTGTCTATTGGGACAGCAGAGACATACCCTGAAGGAGGCCCTTCGTTTTTATTTTCAAAATTATTTTTTTTTGCTTTTTTTTTTT